AGAAATGACGCCAAAAACCAAAAACTGAGTTGTAAACAAAGTGATACATCATGTACATTATCATGCTCATAGAAAAACTAAATGTAACAACATTGAACAGAAAGAGTAAACTTATTCCTGTAGACTATCCTTGATAGCAAACATATATTGTATTACAATCATACTGATAATAATCGATTAATTCTCTGCTGAGAGGATTCGCTTTGACAAAATTCTACATGTTCCGGGATTCTACCAATTTTATCAAACTAAAAATTAAAGAAATGTCGATAAATCAGAATAAATCTATTAACTCCATTACAAAAGAATAAAATGTCACCTGTATAGGAGATACCAATATTTGTAACACGTACTTTGTAGCAACTAGGGAACTGTTGTGATACTTTTACTTGAAATTGACTGCAATGAACTTGAAATGAAGTTGCCACTATGTTTAGATGAAATAGGGCATATATACTTTAAAACAAAACAGTGAAAATATTGATAACTTTGACCCATATGCATACATATAAACTCCGCACAAAACATGAACATCAAGCGTACGGGTAAGTCTAAACTAAATGAAATCCTGCTACTTTAGACGTAAATGTCATAATGTGCAAACAAATAGATAACTACCTCTTATTGGTATATATGTAAAGTATATAAGTATACTAGGAACAAACTCCTTTAACATAGGTATGCCAATGTACAACGAATTAAAACTATTGATCTTGGTAAATTTCATTTCTTCGACCACAATTAACTTTAAAAATTTCCAAATCAAAAAATCTAACACGACATAAACTGTTACTGGTACCAAGAAACCCTTAGCCTTGTACTTATCTTATACATGTGGATAGGTACAAATAAACAATGAACCCAAAACTCCCACACAATAAGAACATATATGCGGCCTACTCTGTACTATTGCTCAACACCGTTGTAATATATTCACTAGTCTTGGCCCAAAAAGTCAAAACATGATAAACATGCGACGTTTATTCCCGAAGCTTCTCTTCTATATTTTTTAGTACTCCGAGCCCGATCCCAATTCAAACACATTACATTCCTCCCTTTTACACAAAAGATAATAAAAAATACAAAAGATGAATAAATCCTATCTGGACATACAAAGTAATGATTAATGATTAATTTTGCATTGTCATAAGAACTGCAACATGCAGCATAGTTCACCAACGATTTCGCTCTATAGGTCCAATTTTTTAGTGGGTTTCCTCATCCTGAGCGGATAACGACGTTCCGGCACTGCATCAGTCTGATCAGGCACCTTGGTATCCTTGTTTACAGAGTTCGCAAGTTTTTCTTGAGTTTCCACCATCTCAGGAGTTCCCTTTCCTGTTTCATCTGGAGACACTAAGGCCCGATCCATTCCTGGCTCCTTAAAAGAGGGTAACTCTACATCAAAGGGCAGCGGTGTAAGTTCCGGCTCCAGCATCGTAGCAGACGATGCTAATAAATGATCTACGTGGCAATAGCGAATGCGTTTTCCAACTCGCACAAGATAAGTTAATGGTCCCAACTTTCTATGAATCACACCAGATATCCACTTCCATTTTTGTCCTGGAATAGTTGTTTTCACTTGAACTTGTTCACCTCCCTGAATCCCTGACTTTACACTGTCCACCATCATGTTGGTCTTTCATCTTTTGCTGTTTCTCCTCCACAGACTCCCTAAGATTAGGTTTAATGCAACTTAACCGGGTTCTTAACTGGCGCTTAAGAAATAGTTCTGCAGGTGATGTACCAGTAGTGCTATGTGGAGTTATGCGATACCTTAACAAAAAGTTGGCAAGGCGCTGCTGAAGAGACCATCTATGACCATCAAAATCTTGCCTCTTTAATGCTTTTTTTAGAATCTGTACTCCTCTTTCAGCCAACCAATTTGACTGAGGATGATAGGGCGGTACAAGTGTATGTTTAACTCCACTGTGCTTCATGAAATCTTGAAACTCAGAAGATGTAAACTGGGGCCCATTGTCACTCACTATTTCTTCAGGTATTCCAACTGAGGCAAACCATGTTCTTAACTTCTCTTTGGTATTGCTGCTTGTGGTGGACTTCACTGGTATGACTTCCAGCCATTTTGAATAACTGTCCACAATAACAAGAAAGGACTGCCCCTTATATTCTGCATAATCTATATGCACTCGTTGCCCCGGTCTAGAAGCCCAAATCCAAGGATGCAGGGGGCTTTCTTTTGGAGTGTTTCTAGTAGATGCACAAGCTGAACATCTTTCAACCATGTCTTCAATGTCCCTGTCTAAATAAGGCCACCAAAGATACCCCCTGGCTAAGGCTTTTGTTCGAGACATTCCTAAATGTTTCATGCAGCTCTAGCAACAAGGACCTCTAAAGGAATGACCACTCGCATCCCCCACAAGAGCAATCCCTTTTCCAGTGTAAGTTCATTCCTTCTATCAAAGAAAGACTGCAAATCAGAATCCTCTACATGAGCTGGCCAGCCGTTCAGAGTGAAATCATACACCCTAGACAGAATCGGGTCTCTTCGGGTAGCCATAGCTATCTCCTGACTGGAGATGGGTAAGTACATATCCAATGAAAATATTTATTCTGTATCCTCCTTTTTGTTTTGTAATGGTAGTCTCGATAAGGAATCACAATTACTATGCTGTTCAGATGATTTGTACTGAATGTCATACTGATACGCAGCCAGTATCAGTGCCCAACGTTGCATTCTGGCTGCAGTTAATGGGGGAACACCCTTTTTTGGTCCCAGAATTGACAACAACGGTTTGTACAAGTACTTATGGAATTTCTTTACTCCAAAAACTAATGACAGTGCCTCTTTTTCTACTTGAGCATACCGTCTCTCGGTTTCACTCAGTGTTCTGGAGGCAAAAGCTATTAGTCTCTCTGAGCCATCTTTCATTACATGCGATATTACTGCTCCAACTCCATAGGAAGATAAGTCGCACGATAATCGGAGAGGTTTCTTGGAGTCGTAAAACACTAAAAGTTTACTCTCAGTGATCATCTTTTTACAGACATTAAGGAAAGGATTGCACGGGTCCGTGAAAAAATTCTGCCCAATGAATTTTTCTCATTTTTACATATTACGTTCATAATGTCAATGACACCATTATATCGAAGTATCAAGCATGGTCATCTCATCAGGCTTATAAGGAAGTTATGGTTGCCATGGTAACCACCATTTTTTAATGTTTTGATATTTATTAGGTGAATGTTTTATAATGCCATACACGCAACAAAATTGAAGCAAATTAAATATTTTCCTGCAGATATTTAATAATATGCTTTATATTTATTGAAAATAAAAATTGTTTCGGAAACTGTTGATAATGTAGTAATGCCATTGTTTTGTGGGAAGTATTAATTGTAAATTTTCAGTAATATTTTCAACTCAATAGCAGTTTTTAACGTCTAGACAAAAAATTACCCAATGAATTTTCCCAAAGCTAATATATGCTGCATTAGTCATTATAAGTGACTTATGGTTATAATATGAAGTAAGGTAATCAGATTCATTTTGAAGCTACACGCATTTCACTACACCCCCCCCCCCCTCCTAGAATATTAAAAAATTTCACAGATTTTCAAATGATGGTTTGTTGTTGGAGCTTAAATATGCATAATCTGTTTAAAGACAATAAAGGCCATATGTATAGATAAATAAATATTTTTTTTCTGAAAATCTGGCAGCTGATGCTCATTTTATATGTGAAGCACATTGATTTACTGATCACCGACAGGGGTCACGAAAAAAACTTTTTTTTTCAAACTCAGTTCTTAATCTCCAAAACATTCATTTTGTTACTATATCAGTATAAATAAATAATATATATATATATAAATAAATAACCAGTGCACAGATCTCAAATTATTCTTCATGCTTTGAACACTCAGCGATGTTTCTTCTTAGTGACCTGGAATCGGCCGGGGGGGGGGGGGGGGTCAGACATTTGAAGAAATTGAATGAAAAGCGGGGGGTATTTTATAAAACTTGTAACTGCATTATTTATTTTTTTTTGATAAATGCATTCATCCATAAATAATCTTATTGGACAAATTATAGTAATTCTAAATATTCACATTTACAAATAGTTTTCCTTCCGATTCTTTTCAAGCAAGAACACTTCATTTTCTCCTGTACATGAATGAGCGCTTTCTCCATTGTGACGTCATAATGACACAATTGACGTCAAAATTATAGATCTACTGTTTTGATTCAAAAATAATCATTAATTGAAATACTTTCCGTCGCTTTATGATATATGCTGGAGTGAAACTTCTATGTTCATGTCCATGTGATTAAAAATAAAACATTTTTCAAATGTATTACCATAAGCTTGATAAGTTCACATGTTTCTTTTATTTATTTATGTACATATCTTCCCTGGTATTCTTTCAGAAGAAGTGTGTTATGTTTCAATACGACGCATAAAACATTTTACAACAATCGTTTACAATATATGTGCGACGATGATTGAATGTTTACACGGTCAATGTCACTGCTGAAAATGCTAAAGATCTTATAGGAGAAAACAAAATCCTCTGCGATATTTTTTTTAAAGATATCTAGGCATAAGTGGTCTTCGCCGTAACATGTTTATCAAAATCGCCGTTCGTTCATCAATATTTATACATGTATCTAGTAAATCACGCCGTCTGAATCTCTTATTGGAAATTATCTTTACATAGATGTGGATGCTATGATAAACAACAACCTTTATAAATAAAATTATAATTTTAAAATGAAGATATAAACCTCAAGATATAAATCAGATTTATTTTTAATGAAATAGATTTCAATGTTCAGAGATATACAATTTTGATAGACGTGTCAAATCGTAAAACATGCACGTAGATAAAAAATATGATCAACGCTCACCAACACTCTCTGACTAGTCAGTGCATCGTAACAATCTTTAATATCTTGTACTTTCTCTACTTTAGAAAAATAAGCGCAAACACATCACGCTCCTTATTCCGGAAATAGTTACAACAAACTTCTTTTTTTATTTTCCAAATGACGTGATCACGTGACGCCATGCAATCGTGTCCTTAAAACTCTCCTCACAGTCAGCCGTCCAATTCCACGGTTCATGCTTCTTTAACAACTTGTGGAGTGGGTTTAACTCGGTACTTAAGTTTGGCAGAAAAGCACCATAGTAATTCAACAACCCAAGAAAAGCTTTTAACTCCTTTACTCCAGTAGGTCTAGGTGCATCATTTATGGCCTTAACCTTTTCTTCTGTTGGGTGTACTTCATTGTGATCTAGCAGGAACCCCATATAAACCACTTGGTCTGCAAAAAACTCGCACTTTTCTGCTTTCAACTTAATGTTATGCTTTCGCAAACGTCGAAATACTTCTCGAAGCGTATTCAGGTGAGTAGTATCATCCGCCGCTGTAATAAGAATGTCATCTATCCGACATACCACATGATCTAATCCCAATAGGAATTGGTCCATAACTGACTGAAATATTGCGCTTGCAAAACTAACTCCATAAGGTAGGCGGGCATATCGAAAGAGTCCAAGGTGAGTATTAATGGTTAGACATTCTTGAGATTCTCTGTCCAATTCTTGCTGAGAATAGGCTTGACTTAGATCCAATTTTGTAAATTTTTTTCCACCTGCTAAGCTAGCAAACATGTCATCTGTGTTGGGCAGTGGGTACTGCTCCTCACTGATAACCCGATTAACTGTCATCTTATAGTCTCCACAAATCCTCACTGACTGGTCTGCCTTTGGAACCACTACTACAGGTGCAGCCCAGGAGCTATTTTTTACTTTCTGAAGAACACCTCGCTCAACTAGTTTTCTCAGTTTCATTTCCACTTGTTCTTTAATAGCGTAGGGTACTGTGCGTGCTTTGCAAAATATTGGATGTCCGTCCTCCTTCAACCTTATCTGTGCTTTAAAATCCTTTATTGGTTCTGTGCTTGGCAAGAATAGGTCACTATACTCTCTCCTTACGGTCTCCATTTCATTCATACTGACTGCAAAGACTTCTTGCCAGTTGAGTTTTATTTTTGACAGCCAGTCCCTCCCCAATAAACTTGGTCGCTGTCCTTTGGCAACTAGCAATGGTAGCTCAACGAACTCTTGATCCTGGTACTTTACAGGAACATGACACACTCCCAGCAGCCCGATTTCATCTCCAGTATATGAACGAAGTACAGTATCTGTTTTTGTGAGCTTGAAATGCTCTAAATGTCTCTGGTAAACTGCCTCACCTACAATGGTACGAACACTCCCGGTGTCAATTAAAAATTCTACCTCTTCATCTCCCACTGTTATGTTCACCGTCAACTTCCTTCTGCTATGGTCTTTTTCATTGGTACAGAAAATAGAACAAATGCTGTCTGATGAATCTGATGTGTCATCATCTGGCTTAGCCACAAACAGTGTTGATTTTTCTGATTTTTTTTTTCATGTGACACTTCTTTGCTATATGGCCAATTTTCTGACACTTGAAACACTTGCTGTCTTTGAATTTACACTCCTTCGGGTTATGGTTATTCCCACATCGGTAACATTCCTCCGAATATTGTCTTTGAAATTTCTTTCGGTTCTCAGATTTCCTCCCTGAATATTTTGTTTCCACACTGTGTATTCCTGGATCAGGATTCAAAAATGCCAATGTGTCTTTTTCAGCCGTTTCCATGGCATACGCAATCTTGACCGCTTTATCGAAATCCAGATCCGTCTCTGATAACAACTTTTTCTGTATTGCTTCTGACCGTAACCCACAAACCAGTCGATCTCTAAGTGCTTCAGGCATAAATTCTCCAAACTCACAATGTGTAGATAGCCTCTTTAACTCAATTACATACGAGTAAACACTTTCACCCTCCTTCTGGTTTCTCTTATTGAATTTAAATCTTTCAGAAATAACTAACGGTTTGGGCATGTAATACCCCCGCAACATTTGCACTAAATCTTTGTACTCTTTTTCTTTCGGCAGGGCTGGTTGCACTAAATTTTTCAAAACTCCATAAGTCGTTGGACCAATAATCGACAAAAATACAGCTACTTTCTTTTGGTCCTTAACTTCATTTGCCGCGAAAAATTGTTCAAGTCTCTCCACATAATTCGCGAAGCTTTCTGTGCTTACATTAAACTCACCGACTATTCCTATGTGGGTCATGCTGATTCTTCGATAAAGAGAATTCAAGCGTTCCGAATCCTCGTCGCCAAAGTAATATATTCACTAGTCTTGGTCCAAAAAGTCAAAACATGATAAACATGCGACATTTATTCCCGAAGCTTCTCTTCTATATTTTTTAGTACCCCGAGCCCGATCCCAATTCAAACACATTACAGTGGGTAGGCACTTTTAAACTTTGTATCCAAAACTCCCACACAATAAGTATATGTATGCGGCCTACTCTGTTCTATTGTTAAACAACGTGGGTAGGCACAGATAAACTTTGTACCCAAAACTCCCACACAATAAGTACATGTATGCGGCCCACTCTGTACTATTGCTAAACACCGTGGGTAGGCACAGATAAACTTGTACCCAAAACTCCCACACAATAATTACATATATGCGGCCTACTCTGTACTATTGCCGAACACCGTGGGTAGGCACAGATAAACTTGTACCCAAAACTCCCACACAATAAGTACATGTATGCGGCCTACTCTGTACTATTGCCAAACAACGTGGGTAGGTTCATATATAAATTTATACCTCTACGTCCACACGATAAGAACATTAGGCCGAAAGTATTTCGATTCAATAATAAACAAACCTGTGAACTAAACAAAAAACTCTGTACCGTAGCTCCATTTTATCAAGATTATAAATAATTATGGGAAACTGATTCATATGGTAAATCTAAATCCGTATAACCGTGTCTAAATGAATAATTTCTACATAAGACCGAAACCACTGTCATTAGAAGAACCGAACAAATGTACAAATTCAATAATTTCTACAGAAACACGAGCTAAGAAAAACTTGCTGTGTAATTTTTAATAATTCAAAAATATTAAATGGCTTGACTTCGAAATTCAATCCTTGCTTTTAATCAACAGAATTTGCTGACAAGCTTTATGTATATGATCTTTCCTTTTCATAGACTTCTCAAAGCATACTCAACACGTTATGCAACAAAATGATTAAGAATACTATACTGGCCTTATTATTAAGACGACTGAATTATCTGCATTCCTATACATCGAAACCACATCCGCATTGGCTGGTCGTGCAAGGGGGGGGGGGGGGGGAGATGCAGCACAGATGTAAACCAACTGGACCTGATAGCTCAGGTTCATCCTGAAACCTCTGTGCCTCCAAAAGTGAAACCCTGACAAAGACCGTCATGATCTCCAGCTGCGTATTTGCTTTCCATCAACGCCATCCTGTGATGAATATTATCACAACTTCTCGCCAAACAAATCCGTGTCTTCATTGATATAAATGTGTTCAGTTTTAGTCGTTTAGTTTAACAAACAACAAAAATCAGAAATCACGCGCATTATGTGGGTATATGGGAATCTCTGTCCTTTAATTAACGAAATTAATTAACGAAAGAATGCCAGTTCAAAACACAACACAAAGTTAATCAAGTCCAATCATCAGAAAAATATACTCCACATGACTCCACATGACCATTGCAAAATCTACACATGTGAATAACCCGCGCACGTCTATCACAAATTGTGGACAACACCCTCGGTTAAGTAAACAAAAAATAATCTCAAACAGCACAAATCTTGCAAATTATGACAATAATTAACAGAATGATGGAATAAGAAAGCACTTATCTTGGCTGACTATAACGATCACAAAAAATTGTAATTTTTTTTCAAAATAGACGTGCTTCATGTTAGCGGTGGTGAGCGCACGAGTGTGAATGACTCGCTGAGCTGACCACGTGGCCTTACACATTCTACTACAATTAATACCTCAGACAAGGCGTGGATCTGAGAATTTTCACAATTTACTAACGTAAATGTTTCTGGAAATCAACAAACAAATTATCGCATTAAATACATAAATACAATTATTATTCTAATAATTGTTGTTTGATATTGCATGATATTAAGCGATAAAATTTGTGAAGTCACTCCGTACAATTGTATGGTTGGGCTACCAAGTACGTGAAAGTTTAATGAAAAAAAATACAGATTGACTTTTTATGGAAAGCTGGGACTTTCTTCAGAGTGATATTGTATTGCTTTTTTTGCAACCTGAATAATTTTATGATGCTGGGTTTTCAATGAAAAAAATCTTCTTCCGAAATAGGGAAAATATTTAGGAACATAAGTAAATTTGTAGCATGCAAATAGTTAACACTATATTATAGGAAAACTGTGTTCTTTCTTAGATTTACACCTGTTTAAAAATTTTTTGTTTAATTCACATGAAAAATTTAAGCCATTAACATTTAAAAAAATTTAAAAAAAGTTTTCTGTTTTACAAGATTAGAATTATGAAGACAATGGGGAGATATTTATTTTGTATGTACATGTATCATGACTAAATGTCGGAACTACATAGCCTAGCTAGAGCACATAAGGTTTACATTATCATAATTAAAACCAGTTATTAAAGATAGGAATTATATAACATAAAAATGTAAATAATTTGAACTATCTGAATGTTAAAAACATGCATATATCTAACCAGCGTCTAATAAAATATAATTTTGCTTCCGACAGTTATCGAAATTTGGAAATGTACATCTTACCACTCTTAGAAATTCTGTGTGCTAGCATGTGATAAAATCTAAGAAGTAAAAAAAAGAGTGAATATAATTCTCAGATCTTTGAATCTCAAAAGGAAGAAAATGTGTAAATTAGAGATAAACTCCATGGGTGTAAACATGCCATTCTGACATTCTCTTTATATTCCACTTCTGATTTTTAAGTGTTCTAATTTTAGCCAGCTCAGAAATATTGCTATGCATTAATTTAGAACAAAAATTTCTATTGTTAAAGTTCATCACTATATATTTAGCCGGGCTTATTTCTCAAAGAGCAATTGTCGGCTTAAGTCATCCTGTTCAAGACAGGAAGTCAACCCCATAGTCGCCATTTTAAAGTTACGTGTCAAAATATAGTTCTTACTCTCAACCGTTTTAGAGATAATACAAACGCTAAATAAAACAACAAAAATCAAACAAAGACTTATCCAAATAAGATGATCAGTGTTATCGTAGTTCTCTACACATCCGAGGAAAAGAAGGAGAGGGAACCAGACTAGCCTGTTTGTTTACATTCACCTGCAGTACCAGATAAATTCTGATTTTGACGGACCATCGTATTAGGATCGAAAACTCACTGTCTTATCATTTATATTGATAGTTTCATCAGAATTTTTAATCTGTTATTTTTGTTATTTATATATTAATACAATATAAAAATATGATTTATGTAAGAAATTCGTTCTACTCTGTAAATGAGCCCGGCTCTCTGTATTTCTGAGTACTTTGATTTACATTTACCAAGTCATCATTTCTAGACAAAAATAATAAAATCTGTAAAAGATTGCCAGTAGTGTATTTATTTCCTTTGTTGCTATGGGAAATTTTCTGTTGCTATGCAATCTGCAAAATATTCCTGGATTCATTAAGAAGTCTCAGAAATATGTTTTAACTTTGCAATTAGATTGTGCTTTCCACCGATAAGATTTAATTCCATAAATAACTCGCACATTTCACAATTTATTTCTTTCTTTTAATTAAAACATCCAATATTTGTTGCTAGGCAACCGAATGTTAATATTAAAAAAAACACATGTTTTGGAATTTAAATTCCAAAAAGGATACTCCTTTGCCTTTATGTAAAATATACCATACTCTTGTATTATGCCATAAGTTTGAAGTATGTGGCCTTGAAAATTGCCCAAATTAACAAAATTGCTGAATCAGCAAAAAAGACAAAACATGCATATCTTCAATCGTCCGTAATAGAAATATCTTAAAATAAAAATTCTATGTATTACATGGTTTTATCCCTTGGAATGTTCATCTTTATGATAACATTATTTAAGAACCCCTCTGGTAGTATTCAGATTCAATTACAAGCCTCTAAGTTTAGCGATATATTTGTCTATCCACATGGAAAACTGACTGGTTGCTGGGGAAAATTTCTTTGGCCATGTTTCTATAGAAACCAGGACCCAAAATCATTTTCATTTTACATAAGTGCTTAATGGTGCAAGAGAAATCTATGTGTGAAAAATCATCGAATTCCGAGAACCCCCATGATTTACTTTTATACACATATTGCCTGATTCTTACAGAGACCCGTACTTAAGATAGGTCACTCGTCAGCTTTTTTGAAAAGTTCACGCAGACCCTCTTACTTAAAAACTATTTATCAAAATTCAATTTTTATAATATTTTTTAATTTCAACAATGTTAATGTTTTAACATTCGACAAAAAAAATTGCTCAAAAAGCTACAAAGAAGCAAGATTTCTGAGGGACTATTTGTTGTGGTGGAGGGATATTTAGCAGATAATTCTGCAAATCTGCACATTTATTAAATTTAATATCTTGGAACTTTAGCCTAAAAATATCAATGATATTTAAAGAAAGAAAAATAAAAAAAAACATGCCATTGTCCCTGAACATTCAAAAACTGAATGTTATCTAAAGTAATCATGATTTCATGAAGGAAAAGTAATCAGATGTAATTGTTTAATTTCAAAAATGTCTGTAATCAGCTTGTAATCGATTACGCGGGTATGTTGAGGAAGCATATAAATCATTTCTCGAGAAATTCAAACATTTTAAAGAAAATTAAGTTTGATAATTTACCCAAACCACAGATAAATGTAAACTATTATTAACTATTGCATAAAAATAAAAGAGTGTCTAACGCAAAGACGTGAACCACCACCACTGCATCACGTAACTTCTATTTATAGAGAAATCTTCCTTCATAAATAAACAAAAACAAAACAGAACAACATTACCCCGGAGTATTCTTTGAGTAAACAATATAGTCTGAAAACATCTATTTTGCATAAAAAGTGCTGCTAGAATCCCAATGTCCTGTCAGTAAAAAATTATTCCACACATTCGCACGAAACCTTACCCTGTGTTATGAATTTTATACATATGAATGGAGATTTTTTGTAAAACCATGCTTAACTCTGGATTCGAGAAACACTTTCGATCTGTATAAA